TTACCAAATCTGGCATCACCCCATCAATTCTCCAAGTACTAAGTATAGCTACTTTATTGAAACATTCTTATTGAATACTAACCAATTCATGTTAAGTGTTTTTTCTATTACTTGCCTCTGATTGTTACCTAAGTTTGCAAGTAGCAAGATAACAAACTTGCTTTCAGACTAACTAAAAATAACTAGTAACAGTAACACAAATTACTTTAGTAATAAAACCCCATCTGGTAATGGCTGCAATACACACAGACACACAAACAATTTAACTGCAACCTTAATGTCTCACTCACATACCTGTTTAAAATATTTCTGGATACTTACACACAATTTTATCCACAGGATCATGGTCATCAAAAGTTACGAATCCAAAGCCTCTCTTTTTGCCAGATTGTCTGTCTGTAATTATTTCAATTGTATCAATTTTTCCGTATTCTGAAAAGTAGTCTCTGAGGTGATGTTCTTCAGTGTCTTCTTTAATTCCACCAACAAACAATTTTTTTACAGTAACATGAGCTCCAGGCTTCCCAGATTCCTTGAAAAAATAGTATATTGAATTTTTTTTAAAAAGGGACATCATCTTTCTCCCTGGGGACAATTAATAGTGTTATAAAATTAAGGGGTTCTGGTATTGGGTATAGGAGAGAAATTTTAAACTGATTTATTCCATGGATTTTGAAAATCAGGAGTTTCATTGGTAAGGATCTGAAAAACATTTCCCATTCCAATCATATATAAAACATTTCAATCTCAAAGCAGTCTTGTTTCAAGGTCAGGACAGTTTACCTATTGGATGTAATGATATTATTTTCCTATGAAGTAATTATCTACAATTTGGAATGTAGCAACATCTGAAAAGCTTAAAACACTGCCCCATTTATTATAAATGTTTTAAAATCATTGCCTTTATAAAAGGACACAGTAGAAAAGAGCATTTTGTAATGCTGCTCCACACTTCAAAACTTACCTCTCTGGCTACAGCCCTTTTTGGTTCAACTACTCTTCCATCAATTGAATGAGGCCTGGCAGCCATTGCTGCATCAACTTCAGCCATAGATGAAAATGTTACAAAACCAAATCCTCGTGAACGTTTGCTTGCAGGATCTCTCATTACCTAAAACACGACAAATTTAAAACGATCTCCTTCAGTTATTGAAATATTGCCAGGCATTTCCAACATTTATATTATTGGTTATATCATTGATAAAACCTTCCACATTTTTTAAAAATTAAAAATAATTGATTCACCTTCAATTTTTAGAAAAAAAAAAGTTTTAAATGGAAAACTCAACAATGTATATAGTAATATCTACATTTGATTGAAAGATATTTTGTGTACACTTGCAATTCACTATTAATCTGTGTAGATTATATTCTCAATAGTTACTTGGGAATTTATATTAAAGCCCATATTTAATTAAATAAGTTATAGGGGCAAAAGTATCAGACAGTTACACTAATAGGCAACAGTAAATTCAATAACTGTGCTAAAGGCCTACATGAATGTTGGGTATAAGCATGGTTCTCAAAAGAAATTCAGGAAAAACCAACTGGGGTGATCTTGGGCCAGAGTCACCCTCTCTAGCCAACTTATCTTGCAAGGCTGTATTTGTGGGGAAAATTGGAGAGAGTATTAGCCCTGAATTTCTGTGCTATCATAGCCTTGACATATCCATGCAGTTTACATCTCAAAGACTTTATTCTAAATTAAAATGTTACACTATCCAGTAACTCAATATTATTTGATTAATTAGCCACATTTCTTCAGAATTATTAAACTAAATCTAGGACATACTATGCAGCTTTTTGTGTGCTCTACCATCAGCATATAATCCCAAAATTATTAAGTTATTAATTTAATTTAATGTGGACAGATACTCCAAAGAAAACATGCTTCGTAAATCACTATATGGGATCACAATACTAAAATAACCACCAACCATTATTTTGGTTTACCATCCTCTTCATTTTCAAAACATGGCAGAAATAGAAATTGTTATCCTACAAACCACAGGATTAGACAACCTAAATCAAGTAATCAAAAGAAAAACACCACACAAAGAAAACTTACCACACAATCTGTTAATTTCCCCCATTGCTCGTAGTAGTTTCTCAAGCTTTCTTCTGTTGTTTCAAAGCTTAAGCCGCCAATGAATAGTTTGCGGAACTGCTCCTTTTCCCTCTGATTAAAAAAAAAATCTCAAAGTTTTACACCTTTCACGATACACTGTATTAGCTTTTTTTAAAAAAATGAGCAATATAACTAAACTATATGATAGTCTACATCTTGGGTGTTTAAAGATAAACTTAGGTTGTGCCTGTGTGTAATACACACACACCCTACATTTTATGAAAAGGTTACAGTAAAATAAATTTTAAAAAATGTAATTCCTACATATTCATATGTTTAATATTAATGTTGGTTTTGCTGTACACTTTTGAATCGCAAGGTGCCATTATTAATCTACCAAATCACCTTCCCAAAACATGTAACTAATTTGAAAGGAAACATTAATTCAAATGTCTTGAGGTCGGTCTTTATTGTGAGGGATATTTGAATAAAAATGTGTGAGTAGGCCCTTCTGACTAACAGGGTTAAATAAAACAACAATGTAGCTAACAAATGAGTTAAAAAAATCTGACATTTGGAATATTAACATCACATTTTTGAAGAATAAAATTTAAGTGGCATTACTATCTAAAATTTTAAAGCATCTGCTTAGATATGTAACCAAGATGATGTGGAAAACTGGTTAGTCCTCCACTTCAGAAAATGAATTGTAAGTAATCAAATAAAGACAATATAATTCTGTTTTAAAACAGATATTCTAAGCTGTTCTTTTCAGCCATATTGTTTTTGCACTATCTATCATTAATTCTAATAGAAAAAGGATTCAAAGGAACTGTTGCAGAATTTATAGTATAGACTAACAACTCTCACAATGTTATTCCATTGCATAATTTTCTAGACTAAAACATGGATACTTAATATCATGCGTAAATTAATATGCAACTCCCTGCATAAGCAGACATTAAAATGTTAAATTTGTAGATACCGATTTATCCGGCTACAGTCCTGAGTGTGATTCTAAAACGACAAGAAACCATTTGAAAAAAGTAGGGTTCGCCTGTGAAGCGGTTAACTTTGAGACCAGTTGAGTCTCCGCCTCCCAACTGAAGATGGCTCCGCCATGTGACGGTTCCGACAACCCGAGGTCCTCAGCGGACTGTAAGAGAAAATGGCGCCGACGAACACCGAGGGAGGGGAGGAGACTCGTTCCCAGGAGAACGAGTACTTTATTCTCTTCTGCGCATGCGCAGAGCCCTTCCTTTGTAGTGCTGTATTAAAGAGGTATCAAAGTTGCGCTTTCGCCCTAGATGCGTTCATTTAGAACTTCCAAGTCCCTTGTCCTGCCGTCATCGTTTGTAGAACAAAATCTCTCTCCATCTCTCTATCGAATTTAAAAAAACGAATTCGCCATAATTGTTCCCTCCTTTTCTTAACGGCCGTCGGCCCTTCCAGAACCTTCCTCTCCATTAACGTCTTCCTTGTAAGACACCAAGTCCCGCCAATTGCGCCACCAAGTGTTCCAACGAACAAGTCATGCGTCATCTCTAGATCCTACGCTAATGGCGTATTGTGCCGCATTTAGTACCCTAACAGGCACCAACGCGCCATCCAAATAGCCGTTTCCGTAACAACCCTACGAACTTTATTTCCACATTGTATCAGCTACACGTTTCGCGTAATGCCGTTTCAGAATACGATTCCATCACTAATGGCGGCCTTAACTCCTGCGTATTTAAATATTCACAGAACCCTATTTTAGGGCTATAACCACGTGAAACCTTGTCGTGTATATAATTTTGAATAAATGCTTATTCGTCAGACCGATAGTATGCATGGAAACAATAGTGTTATTAAGCAGACCCAAATTACTTCAGTGTATTGTTTGCGTATATTTATATACAATAAAAACGTGTAGTATAATTAAATATATCAAAAATGCATTAATAAAAATTGCCTCGTCATCAAGAATTCGCAACCGGATGCAATCGGCTGCTTTCGAGCACAGCCGAAAAATCAGTGAAAATCAATTATTATTCATCATCTGGACCCTTTTCAATAATTTCCCGAAAACCCAAAAGCAACGAAAGCATATCGCCAATTTTTCCCCGTAAATTGCCTCAGACTATCGGAGAACAATAATCGCGCCAAAATGTTAAGGATAATGAAGACTCCATCTTTCCCTTTAACCTTTTTTGCTAATCGACGGTAAACTTATAAATGAATTTTTTTAAACATCTAAATATACTAGGAAAAAAAGCCGCCCGTCCATTGTTTCCGTGTTTTGCATTTTATTGTATCTGTCGGCCAGATAAGCGCCTGAGGGAAACATTAAAGCAAACGTGCAACAGGCCGCCATTAAAAACACTCATGGCTTCGCCTGCCTCCCTCCACAATCTTCCGCGCCGCTTTTAAAAGCGTTGAGAATCGAATATAGCCCCCCTCCTCCTTCGCCCCTCGCCCGCCATTTTCTCTTCCTCCTGGCTTTGGAAGACTTACCCGCCCACTGCCCGCGAAAGAACCCGTTAAGGGCACAATGAATGTTGGGGGGGGGGGGGGAAGTCGGCCATTACTAAACCACGCCGTCCGTTACCTCACTCACCCAATCGCTCTCCCGATCTCCACGAGGCATTTCGGCCGGCAATTAATAAAAGGAAGTAAAGGAGTACGCAAACGTTTTTCTTCTCTGGCCGTTGCAGCTGCTGAAGCGACCCTACCGGCTCGCCTCTGTCCGACGACCTACTCGGTTGGGCGCGGCGTACGCAACGGCGGCGGCAAGAAGAGTGCGCCGATCGGCCAACGACTCTGCTGGCGACGCAACGAAGGGCGGGAACGAAAGAGGGTGGCGTTTGCTGCGCCGCCCCGCCTTCTGACCAGGTTGCCGCAGCACTAGCAGCCGCTCCGGGCGGGGCTGCCTCTGCCGCCCTCCCACCCCCTTCTCCCGCCCCTTCTTATGTCGCTGCTGCCTCAGAGCGCGCCAGGAGCCAGGAGACTACAGGGGACCGGAGACGTTGGGCACCATTGAAGTCCGTATCTTTTCCTCCCTCCTTTTCCCCCTCTTCAAGTCTTTCCTAATTCGGTGATAAATAGTAACGTAGCAGAGAACTGGCGGGGGATCTCTGTATTTGCATGTTTGTGTGTGTGTGTCTGTGTGTGTGTGTCTGTGTCGTGCCGAGCTTACAGTTTATGTAACTCCTGAGAAATGCCCAGGCGTGGCCTCGTTTTGCTCTCCTCCATTTTCTCTCGCGGCTCCCTCTCCCGGGCGCATTGACAAGCTTGAAAAGAGGCGCGGGGTTTCCCAGTGCGGCCCTTTCGACTTCTTGACGGGCCTTCCCCCCTGCTCGACGGTTTCCTACTAGCGGGGACGGAGCGGTCGAGCTCCGAGACTGGCAACCCGCGCGGTATTTTTTATTTTTTTATTTTTTTACCGCTGAAGTGCAAACACCTCTGAACCCAACAAGGCACCATCATCACACGAGCGAGTGCAGAGCTTTTCCCTCCCCCACGTTTTCCTGCGTGTCAGCCAGGTCGAGGCCGCGGGCAAAGCAGGGCTTGGAGGCGTGGACTTAAAATTTTCAAAAAAGAATTAACCGCCGAGGCTTTTAGCATTTCAAAAGGCTGCGGTGGTGGGGCGACGCATGAGGCGTTTTTCGCAGCTTATCGAAGTGGGGTAATACCGGGGAGTCGCCCTGAAGGATCCATGGTGGTTTGGTGTTTTCCACCTTTCCTGGACCCAACATCCTGCGCTCTTGGTTTATGGGATTCTCATCCGGGATCATTTCCTTCCCACCGGTCTTAGCTTGCGTGCCTCGTGCTTAAGGGCGCCCTTTACAGTTTTCCTTTACGGCAGGCGTTTCTTAATCAGGCGTCCATTTATTCTAAAGAGGAAAACACGGTGGCAGAATCTCAGTGACCTAAAACGACCGTGCAATAATAGCCTCTGGAATATACCAGGCTTTGCGTCTTGGGGTTTTTTCCCCCCTTTGCTGAATCTCAATGTTCTTCATAGGTTTGCAAAAAAAATCACTCCGAATTTTAAATTGTAGAGAAGTTCGAGGTGATGCAGACGTCCAATGGCTTATGTATTAAGTTAAAATTGTATTATGATTACCATATTTATGATGCACCATTCTATCTTATGGAGCTATAAAATCCTTTCAATGATTATTATTCAATATTGAAATAAAATCAGCGTTCTACAATGTTGCATCTTACCCTTGAAAATATATTTTAGTGTAGCACATTGTCTTACAGTTTTGAAAATAAGGTTTTCCTATAAACTTCTATTCAGTAGTAGATTAGCATATATGATATATACAAAGTCGTGAAAAGCCAAGGTAGGTCTTAGCAAACTCCAAATAATGGCTAGGATAATGGAAACAACTTCAGCCTTTGTTAATTGTGTATTTAAGTAACTAGTCTGAATAGAAAAAGAATTATATTGAGATGTCTTCCTTTGCATAATGCAATATTCCTTTTGTTGTACATTTTTCTAGTAAAAGTTCAGCAAGTCTTCAATAAAAATGGCTACCAATAAATCAACATTGGTAAGTTCTTGACCACCTAAAATATGTAAGGATTTTACCATCATATTTCTTCAGATTTATTTTTGGCATCTCTATGCAAAAAAATACATCCACATGTCTCCTCCACAGCATAACTAAAAATAAAGCATGAGAAAGTGTATAATCCAGGTTTATTAGGGAATAGTTTCAGTAGTGTGATTGTATATTTAATTTGTTTTTCTTATATTGAAAAGCAAAAATTGTGTAAATCTTAGGTGAAATCTCAATTCAAGTTCTGTTGATAACTTAGTGGAATGTCCATGCAGTTTTCTTTGCAAGAGGACAGAAGTGGTTTTCCCCTTTTCTCTTGGATATTTTTTGACTTCCCAATTTAGCCAACAGCTCAAGAGGCTTCCCATTCAAGTATTAAGGGCTGATTGCGCTTAGTTTCTAAGCCGAAATAAGATCAGCCAAGTATTATTACCTGCTGAGTTGTGTAAGTTATTATAAAGGCTATAAATGATGTATTAGAACAGTGAGCATCACTAATGGCGAGAATCAATGGGCAAGGTCTATTAGCTGATAAAGGAGAATATTTGTAGCTCAGGATTGAAATGAGGGGTCTTTGGTGCACTTTGATCTTGGTTGTTCTCTTGCAGACATTTCATTACCTAAATTAAGTAACATCACTACTAGTGAAGGAGTAAGGTTTGCTCTCAATTTAAATTCTAGTACTTTGGTTGGGCTGTTTACTATTGGCTTCTTTGGCAGTTCCTTGATTGGGGTACTGTTTATTTGATTGTTTTTCTGGTGTTAACCTTGAAGTTAATATTCCTGATTAATTGATTGCCAGTGGGAACATGTTTTTCTTTGTTCCCTTTTTGGTTTCTTGGTTGTCTCTTTTGCATAGAAATTCCCTAGCATTTTTGAACTTGGCTTGGTTTAGAATGGTCACAGTTAAAACTGTTCCTTTGATCAAAAAGTGCCTGACACTTAAACTAATACAGCAGAAGGAACATAAGCCTAAAAAATAGTAATATTGCTATACATCAAGAATATCTCAGAAACCACTGACTACTACAACTCTGTGGATCAATGTAGCACACAAGCCAACTCAAGCCCTTCAAACATCCCAACTAAACTAAAAGACCCAGCAGCCCAGAATAAAAAAACAAGAATCAACTACAACAAAGTGTAATGGCTGCAACAGCCATTACATAGGAAAAACTGGCAGAATGCATCCATGAACATCAACTAGCAGACAGAAGACATAATTAAAACTCCTTAATTTCACAATATATGGATAGACTTAACCATAGGTTCAACTTGGAAACTGACCATTCTAGACCAAGCAAAGTCCAAAGACATTAGGAAATTTCTAGAAGCCTGGCGCTCTGACAAATTAGCCATCAATAAGCACATAAGCAGTATCTATACTATGCAAAAGAGCCAATCAACAAGCCAAAAAGGGAACAAAAAGACCAAAACATCTTCCCACCAGCAATCAGCACCCAGAAGAGCATGGATTAACTCCCAAGATTAATAACAGACAATAAATCAAGTAAATTATACTCTAATCAAGGAACTGCCAAACCAGCCAACAGTAAATAGCCCAACTAGAGAGTGTCTAAGACCCACCCCCTCACCAACATAGACAGGATTGCCCTCTTTGGTTGGGCTCTTTACTTTTGGCTGGTTTGGCAGTCTGGCAAACTGTCTATGTCCTTTAGCCTGTCCACTAAACAGAACAAACTGTACTACTTACTGTCACTAATGATATTACCTAGTCTGGGTAATGAAATGTCTGCAAGAAAAAACCGAGCTCAAAAGAGCAGCAAGGACCCAACTATTAGCTGATTTTTAGAATTTGTTCCAGTATGAATTTCCTTTTATTTGAAGGGCTTTAATTCCACAAGAATATGAATGGGACTGCAGTTGTCTTGGACAAGTCCCTGTTAAAAACAGTGAAATTTAATTCTTCATGAATTATTGTGGTTTATTGGGTGGGAGAGCTTGAACTAAGAAGATAAAGCGAGGTCCATTGTTGTCATTCCTTGACGAGCAAGTCTAGTCATTTCAAAATCCATTTCAGAATACAATATATCCTTACTAGTGTCTTTAATATATTATTGCTCTTGGTAGAGATAAATTGCTTCAGATGTGGAAGAAGAGAACAGAATATGATTTATTTTTTAGGCACACTTTGCATCTACTTTCTTTTTAAAAATGTGCATTAGGTAATAATTTTGGAACATTTGAAATAGTATCTTGAAAATGCTGTTTATATTAGAGAAAAATATATTAATTCCGGTGCCAATAAGTACTATAAGATACTCTGAAGTATAAGACGCACCTAGCTTTTGGTGAGAAAAACAAGGAAAAATATCTACCTCTGCCTCCCAGCAATTTGCGTCCTAACAGCAAATAGCATGGTCAGCTTCAGCACTGCCTGATTAGCACAATTAGCACGATTGGATTGGCCTCCTGAAGATCAGCTGTTTCAGGCTGTAGGGATCCCATTGCCAATTGCCATCTCCGTGCCCACCATTTTCAGCCCCATCAGAGGCCAATCCTACCGACAATCAGCTGCTTGTGCTAATCAGGGTGTGCTGAAGCTGACCAGGCTGCTGCAAGGAGAAAAATTACTGGGAGGCAGAGGCTGAAGGGTGAGGGCTGGTGGGTAGGCGGGGCTTCGGCAACATTCACTGTATAAGATGCACAGAGATTTCTTTCCAACCTTATACAACGAAAAATATGGTATTTTCCACAAATCTTACGATGTACACCTCACATTTTATATGTACTTAGAAAATAGGATTATTTTATTAGTAATCCTGTATATTTTATTTTTTGGTATATCAACTAAATGAAAATAGGATTGTATTTTTGAATGAAGAATAGAAACTGCCTATTCTTTTGTATATTATCCTAGTCTAGAAAAGAGAGCACTAATGTTGCCTCTAAATATTTGCCAAGATTGCAAATACTGAAAGTCAGTTTGACATACAAGTTTAATTTGATAGATTTGAATAAATATAGAATTAAAATTGCATAACTACTGTGTTTCTCACATAATAAGGCCGGGCCTTATTTTTTTTTGAGCCATATAGAATTAAAATTGCATAACTACTGTGTTTCTCACATAATAAGGCCGGGCCTTATTTTTTTTTGAGCCCCGAAAAAATGGCTAGGCCGTCTTTTCGGGGGGTGACTTAATTCCCCCCCTTGTATCCTCGCCAACAGCCGCTCCTAACGGGCGATCATGGCCAAGCACAGAGAGCTCCCTACTCCCACCTTTGCTGCAGACACCTTTGGCACCCGCCACTGTTGCTTTCCCTTCTGCCCATTCTGCTGCCACGTTTGGAGCTGCCGCTTCCGTGTTTGGAGTGCCGCCGCCATTTGGAGCTCCAAACGCGGAAGTGGCAGCTCCAAACATGACGGCGGGCGATCTTTTTATTTTGGTCCGCGCGAAGTTCAGAGCGAGCAAGAGAGGGAGACTGCGATGCCTCCATCCGAGATGGCAACCTCACTAGTGGATCACAACGTGGCTGGAAGCCCGAATCGGCGGGATACGATGGCAATCTTTTTGGAGCGAGAGGAAAGGGAGAGAAGAGTTGCGAGGCGTAATTTGCAGGAGGAAGTGGGTGTACCCCACGGCAGGGAGCCCAAGGAAGAAGGGCTGGTAGGCAACGGAGAGCATCCCGTAGCTCCGGAAGCAGCCTAGAGACGCGCCCAGGAAGAGGCGCAGATGCTGCCTTGTAGTCCCCAAGCCAACTGCGTGCGCCGCCTTTAGTTATGTGCGCTCCGCGCTTTGGGCATCTCCGTGTGATCGCGACCCTGTCCTTTCCACCTGGCGCCCTTGCTGCTTTCTGGCTCTTTAGCAACCGGCTTCGTGTTTGGAGCACTGCCGCTGTTTGGAGCTCCAAACGGTGGCGGAAGCTCCAAATGCGGAAGCTCCAAACATGACGGTGGGCAATCTTTTTATTTTGGTCCGCGCGAAGTTCAGAGCGAGCATGAGAGGGAGACCGCGATGCTTTGTGTGTTTTCCCTAGGAAGCTCCTGTAGTCCTTGTTTAGGGATCATTCAGAGCTACGATGGACCTCTAACATCCAGCCCAGGAAGAAACTGCTTCAAAGAAGCTGGGGGGAGGTGGCTTTTCCTGTCGCCGCACCTCCTCCGAAGCGCCCGTTCACCCCCACCCCGCCCGCCCACGCACGCGGGTTCAATCCAGTGCTCCGTTCTGCCTGCCTGCGTTTCTGGTTGTTTCAGAGCAGCTTCGGCTGATAAAAAGAGGCGAATAGTTATTATTCTCAGCTGAAGCTGCTCCGAATCAACCAGAAACGAAGGCAGGCAG